GATTTTCTTTTTGTGTTTTAGAATGGGGAAATTTTCATAAAAGACTAAAAAAGGAACAGGTCATTGTATGGTTATTTCCTATTCAATTTCTGCACAACACAGGAATAACTCATTTCATTTACTTGACACACTTGATTTCATTCTATATAATTCTGTATAGAACCATCACCAACATTTCTTTGCCTCCCTATGTAGTAAAACTCCTTGGGTTGTCTATACTTGATACTATTGCCTGACATTTCTCTTCTCATTCCCTCTCAAACTCTTTATTATAAAATACCTCAAATTTACAGAAAGTTTTCAAGGATAGAACATTTATATACCCTTTACCCAGAGGAACCAATTATTATTTGGCCCTGTTTGTCTTTGCTATCTATATTTTTTGTATCCTCTTGGGAATTCATTGTATACATCATGCCCATTTATCCCTAAATATCTCAGCATGTATTTACCTTTTTTTAAATTTATTTTTAAATTATCTATTTATTTACTTTTTTTTTTTTTTTTTTAGAGAGAGAGAGAAGGGTGGGGAGGGGCAGAAGGAGAGAGAGAATCCCAAGTAAGCTCCACGCCCAGCTCAGAGCCCAACTCGGGGCTCGATGTCAGGACCCTGAGATGATGACCTGAGCTGAAACCGGAGGCCACCGCTTAAATGACTGAGCCACGCAAGCATGTCCCAGCACGTATTTTCTAAGAACAGGAGCCTTCTTTTGCAAACCACAGTTCCATCAGCACGTTCAAGGAATGTATAGACAGAATTTGAGTATCTCATATATTATGTCCATATCCAAATTTCACAAATTATCCTAAATAAGCCATTTTTGGAAATTTTCTCCTGATCCAGGATCCCATTCAGAGTCACATGAATGCATTTAGAGCACTCTATCTGGTATCCATTATTCTGAAATTGTACCAGAGACTATCTTTGTCTTTCAGAACACTGACATTTTTTAAGAATGCAGGTTAATTATTTTGTAGAAGATCTTTCAGCATAGGTTCTCATGATGTTCCCTCTTCCTGGGGATCGGAGCAAGAACACAACACCTACCATGTTGCACCCTCAGTGTTATTACACCGGAAGCCTGTAATAGCAACTTCTCCCATTACTGGGGAGGTGAACTTTGGTTACTTAGTGAAGATGCTGCCCCTTCTACATTTGTCCACTAAAAAACTACACAGTTCTTCCTTTCCAGTTAGAAACTCTGTGGGGAGATACTTTGATATTACAAATTATCCTGTTGCTTTTAAAACTTTCACTGAGTAGTTTCAGCATCCATCAATGATTTGGGCCCGAAGCAGTTATCACCATAAAAGTTGCAAAATGCTGGGGCGCCTGGGGAGCTCAGTGAGTTGAGCATCTGACTCTTGATTTCAGTTCAGGTCATGATCTCAGGGTTGTGATACTGAGTCCCATGTCAGGTTCTGTGCTGGGCGCGGAGCCTGCATAGGATTCTCTCTCTTCCTCTCCTTCTGCCCTCTCTGCCCCTCTGTCTCTCTTAAAAAAAAAAAAAAAAAAAAAAAAAAAGGTGTACAAAGTAATTTTCTAACTCTGTTAGTTCCTCTGCATTATGGGTAGACTCTCTGCAAGGGAGAGCTTCCCCTTCTCATTGATTTACTTACTTGCTTACTTACCATCAGTGTGGACTAATGGATTTTTCTTTCAGTCCATGGTTTATAATCAGCTTTTCCATTATTCATGTTGATGCTCAAAGTTTCCCATATTTGCGCAGAGGGACCCCCTGCAAGTCATCTCCTTTGTCATTTTGTACTGTTCCCATCATTTCTCGAGCTCTCCCCTACCTTCCAGAAGGCCAAGAGGTTGCATTTCTTCTTGTACTTTGCCTGCCCCAGTCCTAGACTTGGCCATTTCACTGAGGTGGTCTGGTTTCTTTTAGTGAGAAATTGTGTTTTAAAACAAAATCTGGGTGCTCGATGTGTGACTGAGGTGTTCTTGCTTCTAGCACAGAATAAAATGTGCTCTATTAAGTGCATAGTTCAGTGAATTTTGACAAATTCTTATTCCCGTGGTCAATTTTCAGTCTTTGTTGTTTTGATCTATTAACAGCATTCGATACTAAGGATCTCACCTTCCTCCTTGCAATATTGTCTTCACTATGCTTCTGGGAAATGCTGGGTTTTCCCTATCCCCACTGGATACTCCTCAGTCTCCTTTGGTTTTCTCTGCTCTTCTCTATACCATTTCGAAGTTTAAATACTGCAGAACTCGGACTCTGATGCTTCCCTCATCTGTATATACCCTTACTCCCTAGGTAATCCCATCTGACAACTCCCAGATTTGTAACTCTAGCCCAGTCTTCTCCCGGGTTTTATATCCACTTATTTTTATCTGACATCTCTGCCTGAACTTCCAATGGACATCAAAATCCAACATGTGCAAAACCGAAATCCATCCCATACCTGGCCCACCTGCAGCTTTCCCATCTCAGGTGATGATGGCAGCTGCATTCTCCTTATTATTTAGGGCAAAAACTTGGAGGTTCTCAAAGTATGGGATCTCCAGATCCCTGACTCCACTTCTGGTCCCTCCACTCGTCCCACCACAGTCTGAGCAGTTATAATTTCTTGCCTGGATTATTTCAAGGGCCTCATAGCTGGTCTCACTACATCAAAGCTTTCTTTTACAATCTGCTCGCCACACAGGATGACCCTTTTTAAATGTGTGATCATATCACTCTTCTCTCAAAATTTTGCAGTGGCAGGATGATGCCTGGGTGGCTCAGCCAGTTAAGCATCTGACTTAGATTCAGGTCATGATCTCAGGGTCCTGGGATCGAGCCCTGCATTGCGGGGGAGAGGGGAGTCCCTGCTCAGCAGGAAGTCTGCTTGTCCCTCTCCCTGTGCCCTTCCCCCCTCCCCCCACTCATGCTCTCTCTCTCTGTCCCACTCTCAAAAAATTAAATAAAATCTTAAACAAACAAACAAACAAACCTTTGCATTGGCTCCTCATTTCATTCAAAGTAGAGCTTAAACTGTTAGAATGAGCTACAAGACCCTTTTAATTCTCATGCCCGCCTTTGCTCTGAGAACTCACCTCTCACTCCTCCCCCTTCCTCTCCTTCTTATCCATGTAGAATTCCTGCCACTCCTCCCACATGCTAGCATGCCAGGAGGCTCACTCTAGGGACTTTCAAGCTGGTCCCTCTGTGAGGAAGGTATTTCCCCAGATCACTGTTTGGCTAACTTCCTCATCTCCTTGATTTGATTAGACTGTACCCTCTACAAAGGCCCACCCTGACTATCCAAACACAGAAGGCCTGGTCCCTCACTTTCAGCTTTTCTGGCTACTCCCCATTGTTCTTCCCACCTTCTAATACAATTTTTATAAATTACTTATTTTTTCATTTATTGGTTATCACATGTCTTTTTGTGCTGGAAAGTAAACTTCATGAGTACAGGCATCGTTGTTTTGCTCATTGGAGGATCTAGAACCAAAGGATCTCACTGGGCCTCTATGTTTTAAATAAATGGATGAACGACTTTGTCCTGTACTTTGACTTGATAAATTGGTAGAAATGAGTAAGAACTCACTAGTAGAACTGAGTCCACATATACCATTTTTAATTTGGCCATGTGCTTAACACCCAGGTTCCGGTTACACTGCTCTTTCTGGGTGTGTATTTGCCTCTTTCCACACAGGAAATCTAGATCCATTTTAAAAATAGAAAGCACTTCGGTCAGGTGGGATTTCCAGAGAACAGTGGGTTTTGCCTGCCCTGAATTAGCCTTTGCATGCATAATACAGCCCAAGTAACAAACTGATCATCATCAGTCACTGCCGTCAGGGAGGGCCACATTGCCCACTCTTTCCTCTGCTTCTCTATCCGCTGTGATTCTAAGTTCCCTAGAGGAGAAGGGGAGACAGAAGGCAGCATGAAAGAATCCATAATTTCTTTATATACAGACTCTACATTTTCCTAGTAGACCGTTCAATTGACTCCAGATTCGAAATGGGCAGCACACGTCACTTAAGTGGCCCTGGAGTGATTCATAGAATTTTAGCTGAGATAAAACATACCTTGACAGCCTTTCAAGTAATGTGCCTGGGTTATTTCTGGACAATCACCATGATGTCAACAGTCAAGTTTTGAAAGGTACATGTGACATGAGTATTAAAATATCTCTACTGACAGGATCAAAACTTTCCTGGCCGCTAGTAAAAAAGAATATACTCCATTAGAAAGTAGACACCCTCTCTGCTTCTTGTCCAGAAAATCTAGGTCACCTCTCTTGATTCCCATGCCACTGGTGTTCCTGGGACATTAGGAAACATTTTCCTCATGTATAAGCTAGTGTATTCTCAGCCCTTTTAATTTAGAGAGTGTAGGATGAGAACCTTGTTTAAATTATGGAGGCTTGGTTTTAATATCATAGAAAAAAAGCATAACTGTTCCTTTCAAATGCATGCAGAAGTATGCAGATTTTACTTACTTAGCACATCAGTGCCATTAATAAGAAAATGAAGATTTTAATTTATATATTTCATGTCTTCTAAAATCACATTCAGAAATATCTTGACATTTTAATGAAGGTAATACATAAGAAAGGTCATTTTTGTTCTAAGACGACTTCAAATGCAGAGTTAAATAGGCTATATCTAAGAAAGCACTGAGAGCATATTTTAAGTTTATCTCCTTTATAATACATTGGAATCTTACATCGGGCTCCCTGCTCATGGGGGAGTCTGCTTCTTCCTCTCCCTCTGCCTGCTGCTCCCCCTGCTTGTGCTCTCTCTCTGTCAAATAAATAAATAAAATCTTAAATATAATATGGGATCGAGCCCCGCATCAGGCTCTCTGCTCAGCATGGAGCCTACTTCTCCCCCCTCCTCTCTGCCTGCCTCTCTGCCTACTTGTGATCTCTGTCTGCCAAATAAATAAATAAAACCTTTAAAATATATATATAATACATTGTATTTTTACATAGTGGAGAAAATAGGGCTTTTAAAATACATAACTTCTGTATTTGATTACTTTCCACAGATACCACACACTCAGGGGAAATTGGCACTAAAAAAAAGGTGAAAAGACTGTTAAGCTTTCAAAGATACTTCCATGCATCGAGGCTGCTTCGTGGAATTATACCACAAGCCCCTCTCCACCTGCTGGATGAAGACTACCTTGGACAAGCAAGGGTGAGTTAGTTTCCCCTCTGTCACCTCCCAGGAGGTCAGGGGCTAAGAGCATATACCTCAGCTGATAGTACCAGAAGTCAACTTCTACCACTGAGACGCTCTGTGACTCTCGCTAGTTAATCAATACATCTGGACTTTTTCCTCAAATATGATATGAAGTTAATAGAAATACCCACTCATAGGGGTGATATAGAGATTACAGAAGGTAAAGCATTGCTTATGTGTTTCAGATACTCATGCCTAGCACATGCTAGCTACTTTCGTTTCTACAAATGGGTGAAACATATTTGCACAACACTAAGTAAAGTAAAATTTTGGACTGATCAGTTACCAATGAGAAAAGAACTCAATCTTTAAGCCCAATGAATTGTCTCATTGTAATAGCTATGTTGAAAGTAACCCAATAATGACCAACTCTTAATTCCACTTCCGTCTACCGATACGGTATGTCATCCTTTATACATTTTTTATTTTATTTAAATAATTTTCACAAATTTTATGATTATTTTTGCAATTCATTGGTCAAAGGTTGAAATTAAAATGTGACAATCTAAAAAAAAAAAAAAAAAAAAGTTCTCAAGTTATCTCTAGCCCAAACTGTCAAAGGAGTTTAAATTTCAGGATAAACGGCCACAGTTTAAACAGAAATCAGAAGTAATGTCCTAGAGTTTACATGGCTATCTAATATTATGCTAGCTATATACTATTAAGAAATATATACTATTACTGTATAGTATTAGTATCTAAGCAATAAGTAATATCAGAAGAACTACTACTTCAGGTCTAAAAAAGGAAAAAAATCACTCCTAACAACCCAAGGCCTGAGAGTGAGTGAATGTTGTTTGTTTGTTTATTCGTTTGGTTGGTTGGCTGGTTGGTTGGAGAAAGAAGAGCAAAACTAAGTGAGCTCCCAGTGCAGGGGCATCAGTGGCAGAGCACTCTTGTGGGGCTCTCCCTCCAAGGTTCACCCCTCAAGAGAGACAACATTGAGACATAGAAAGGACTGTGTGTCACAAGTCAGGATATCAGGGATCAAGTTCTGATTCTGCTTTAGTATTTGACTTGGATAAAATGTTCACACACACTAGATCTCACAGGTCACCTATTAGTCCTTCATTTCTCTGGTAATGATGGAAGGTCTTTGTGTGCTATGACAAGGCTCTTAGACTTACTTGAAGATGCAGGGAAGACATTTAGGGGCAGGAAGAGGGGAGTGATCTGGTCCTTACTGGAAGCAGTGGCTTTGAGAGGAGGGGAAGGCCAGTTGTGGAAGCCACAGTGAGGATAGAATCTGTAACCATAGCTTTGCATGGGGGATTTAAACAAGAAAAACAGGATAATAAGCCCACATTGGAGAGTAGGTCTTTAAATTACCCAACATTTTCCATGGCCCACTTCACTTTCCTATCAGAGTGGTTCATTTCACATTTAGTCCACATTGAGCAGAGTAATGTGCTCAGCAATCATTTTGACTTCATTTTTTAGAAATTTGCTATAAACATTCTCCTTAAGTATATAGTCATTTGCAATGTAGAGGCTTTACTGAACTACAATTTTAACAGATATCAAATTTTATGTGTGCTTATTGTGTACAAACACCATTCTAAGCACTCCACATACGTTGCCTTCTTTAACCATCACAAAAATCCTGAGGTAGATTATATTATCAGCTATATTTTTCAAATAGGAAACTGGGTTATGGAGAGGTTAAGGAACTTGCCCAAGCCCCCACAGCCAGTGAGGGATGTGGCTGACACCGAACCAGAAGTCTGATTCTTTTCAGGCTCTTGTTAGTAGAGCAAGATTTGTTTTACCACAAGCCAGATAGCAATGTGCTACTATTTCCAACTTTTTAATTGTTTCACTCACTGTCTCAAAGTAAATGTTTGAGTCTCCAGTATGATTCATTTGACTGCTGTTTTTCGTTTGCCTTTTCAGCATATGCTCTCCAAAGTGGGAATGTGGGATTTTGACATTTTCTTATTTGATCGCTTGACAAATGGTAAGTCACCCCAAAGAATCCTATTTCCAAACACTGTTATTCGTTTTCCCTTCTTTTTCCACTTTCGTAAGTCTACAGCCATTCCGGAAGGGCCAGGCCAAGGGAAAATTAATTCAGATGAAAAGTAAGGACTATATTTGGCCTTAGAACCTTAAGACCATTTTCCTTCTGGCCTTGATGATCCCAAAGGAATTTGGAAACCACACATTAGATTCTTTCCTCACAGACTACTTTGGCCACATCCAAATGGAGGCTTTTCATGGTTAGTGAAAACTAGAAACACTAAAGCTCATATGACCAGGCCTGACCCCTATAGGGCAGGTGTCTGTGCATTTCCTTGAGGGAGCTGAATCTCGCCCAATGCAGGTCTTGATCAGATATGCTCAGCATTACTGAAGGAAAACACTGGCTGATGACGCAGTGTAAAAGTTTTGGATGTAGCTGATGGGAAAGTAGACATTGCCACTGGTTTCACATTTAGAATCTTGGTGCCTATAAAGACTTTCTTAAAGAAAACAATACAATTTGGTTATATATTCGTCTGCCCATTAAACAAATACTGATAGGCTTAGGGAGCCAATGAAAGACGTCATATGTGATGCTGACCTTCACATGTCCCACCGCATCATTACAGATGGTTTTCTCACCATTCGGTTACTTGACAAATAACATACAGTTGAGAGAAACAGCCTAAGAGTGTGAAGCAGAGCTTTACACTGTGGAAAGCTAACTAGACCATATAGCGACAGAGCCCACAATCTTATATTTCACTTTGCTCAAATCAACTGAAAAATGAGTACCAGTAGATGAAAATAACTGTGAATGAAAGCATTGGTTCAAAAGAGGATAATCATGACTCTCATGGGGATATGAAAAGAGCACATGTCAAAGATTTAACTCAATTAATTAGCCATCCAGTAAGATGCCATCAAGAAAGAAAGAACGAACGAAAGAAAGAACGAATGAAAGAAATCTTGCCATTTGCAATGACATGAATGGAACTAGAGAGCATTATCCTAAGCAAAATAAGTCAAACCGAGAAAGGCAATTATAATATGATCTCTCTGATATGAGGAATTGAGAGGCAGGGCGGGGGGCCATTGTGGGGGGTGGGGAATGAAACAAGATGGGACCGGGGAGGGAGACAAACCATAATAGACTCTTAATCTGAGGAAACAAACTGAGGGTTGCTGGGGTGGTGGGTGGGAGGGATAGGGTGGCTGGGTTATGGACATTGGGGAGGGTATGTGCTATGGTGAGTGCTGTGAATTGTGTAAGACTGATGATTCACAGACCTGTACCCCTGAAGCAAATAATACATTATACGTTAATTTTAAAAAATGCTAAAACTAGGTGAAGGGAAAAGTCAAAGAACAACACATATATAAACAGTAAGAAATGCTTAAATGAATTTATTAATAGCTGTATAACTGCGAAGAGGAAGTCAACTATATTCTGTTGTCAAACAGTGATTCTGTTTGCATGTTATGGACAAGAATCACTTGCAATGCTATCAGTTATCTACAACTTCGAGAGTCATGAAATAGCTCAAAGATAATGGAATCTGTGGAACTGCAGGATCAGGTGCCCCAGAAGACTGTGCTTAGGCAATACTTAGTTTTCCACTTAAGACATCCGGTCATCATCTTGGTCCACTGCAAAGTCTTTCATAAATTCTCTAATGCTTTTAAAATATAAAAAATCATTACTTTAATTACTCAAATTATTCAAAATTCAAAATCATTACTCTTTAGTCCATCATATTTTCTAAATCTTTACATATTTTCTAAATACTAAATGTATTGCTTCAATTTCGCATCTCTGCTGGCTTAAGTTCTAAACTATCTCCTCATCAGATCTCATCCTGGGTGACTTTGCCAGGGAACAACAAGTTCGGATTCTTAAGGAACGTGGTGACTTAGATATCTCTGTAGATGTAAGAATCAGATGGAAGCAACTTAAGGCACATCGCAAGTAACCATTAAACTGTGTCTTTAAAAAATACACTCACGTGGGTGGGTGGTGTGTCCCCACAGTAGGCAGACTCTTAATGCTTTCATTGCCTTTGATGTAGAGAAAGGTCTGACCTAGCTTGTTTCATTTGTACAATATGAGGAAACCTAGGACCAAACCATAAGAATAATATCTTTTATACTAGAAAAAATTCAACTCTAATAGGGAAAAGGAGACCTACCGGAGAACTTTCATTACAGAAACTTTGGATCCTTTTGTCAATCTCGATATTTTAATGGTGATAAAAATGAGTTAAAGCAAGTGACTGTTTTCCTACAGGAAACAGCCTGGTAACACTGCTGTGCCACCTCTTCAACACCCATGGACTCATTCACCATTTCAAACTAGACATGGTGACCTTGCACAGGTTTTTAGGTAAGTCTTCATTTCCGTATTCCTACCTCCTTTCCCCTGAATGATGGCAGTCCATAGTATTCTTTAACATAAAGTGGCAACAGTGATAGCTGGAAAATGAAGATCTCAAGTTAATATTAAATTATCTCATCTTAATTTTAGAATATGGTTTACCCCTTTTTAATCAGTGAAAAAATTATTTACTCAATTAGCTATGTTTACAATAGAGAAAAAAAATGATATAAAGAAAACCATGTGACCATTAAAGAAATTACAGATCAGCTTACATATCAGCAAAACCCCAAATAATTCCAATCTGGACATGAGCTGTTAAAATTCTTCAATAGGCTTTTTTTTTTTTTTAATATAAGAAGAACTACTGTTTACGTAGAGCTCGCGACCTACAAGATGTCCTCAGTGTGTTATTTCTAACCATTTCACCAGCTCTGCAAGTTGGGTGTTGTCAACGCCATTTGGCGCACAGTTAAGGAAAAGTAGAAAGAGGTTTCATAACTTGCTCGAGGTCAACAACTTGTAATTGGCAAAGCCTCTGTCCAAGCCCAGGTCTGTCTGACTTGAAAGTCCGCCATGTTTCCGCTCCATTCTGCCCCATCACTCTCTATCAAAAACAGCCCCAGTTCTTACCGGACTTAATGCACATGTTTATTTATCTGCCAGATTATCCCGGGCACATTTTTAATCACCATATAACTTCCTACTGCCACTTAGCATGTTTCTGGCTTCTTCAATGTGCCCTATGGCTGTGCTTTGAATTTTGAAGCTGACTTGATGCCTTGTTGCCTCCAGAGTATAATAACAGTGACATGATAGCAATAGAAGTAAGGACAACCAGGCCTATACAGTGCTTACATGTGCTGGGACTAAGGACTTGCATATCTTAACAACATTTCATCCTTACAGCAGCCGTTTGAAATTGGAGCTATTGTTATCCCCATTTTATAGAGAAGAAAACTGAGGAAACGTATGGTTAAGTAATTGGCCCAACCACAAACAATAAGGGAGAGGGCCAGAGTTGAAATCTAATTGTTTTTAGAAACCCGTAAAATAATACGTGGCACGAAAGAAACTTTTGAAACCAGCTACGACATGGTTCAGTTCCAGAAACACAAACAACCTCAGGCTAATTGAATTTAGATTTCTCGAGCAAAGTAATGGCCACAAATGGCCCAAATAATTTTTATTTGTCTAAAGGACAACACAGATACTTTGGCCCGCAGAGTAGTGTAAAGAATGAAAAGATTTGATGGCAGAAATAACACCCGAATTCAGGGCTAAACTTATAAAACGGGCTGAGACAATATGGCCACACTTGCAAATCTGGAAATTCTATACACACTGAACATACTGCACCCCTAACCCATGGCTATGAGCTAAGGCAGGCTACCGGCTTCTGTAATTTGCAAAACAAAATCGCCTCAGTTATACCTCTACTTGGTTCCAAGAGCACTCTGGTCCTTACATTGGAAAGGCGTGAGAGATGCTAGCTTGATCTGAATAAGATAGAAATAAAACCAAGGAATTTACCATTGGATCAACACAGTACTTTGACTTTCTGCCTGAAGAAGCCTCAGATTTGCTTTGGTCAGTCTTTGGTATTCAACTGCTAAGCCAATCTTTGGATATCAGGGGCCTGATGCTACTTGGGCTCTTTAAAGGGAAACCTCTTTTATGGCACATATTATTCATAAATGGCAGCAAACTTAAATAATTAAACTATGGTGTGAAATAAAGTTGTCCTTTTCCTACGTATTTATTTTTCCTATGAATGAAAGCCTTGATGTGCGCCAGAAAGGGGTGATTGATGAAGGTGGTGAGGAATCCCAGGGGCCTCGCAAATCCTTTTAGCCTTTCTCCTGTCTGCCCTCCCCCCTCCTCTTCACTAAAAACAGCCCAGTAGAACTGCCAAACTTGCAAACCACGTTTATTTTTAAAGGATCCCCAGGCTGCACATTTTGGAGACGCTGATATTTTTAAGCAAAAGGGATCCTCGATAGGTCTGAGCTTAGTCTGCCCTTCCTGTTTTGGTTTTAGCTGATGGAGTTATCTGTTTGCCTCCTAGTCATGGTTCAAGAAGATTACCACAGCCAAAACCCGTATCACAACGCTGTTCATGCAGCTGATGTCACCCAGGCCATGCACTGCTACCTGAAAGAGCCAAAGGTAAAAGAAGACCCGGGTGCCTCCTCAGCCATCTGGAGATGTCAAGTAAACTGCCTGCTAAGTCCCAAATCACACAACATATCAAAATAATTGTATGGGTCATTCACTCTAAGAATACAAATTATATCTATGAAAGTTCCAGGATCCACTTTGGAAGTTATATAATACACATGAAAGAGGGTGGACATTTCCCTAGGGTTTTTTCCCCCATAATTTCTATACTTTTCAAGATTGCACTGAGGACAAAAACAACCCTTTCTATGACAATCTACATCTTAGATATCTTCAAAGCCCTCAAGAAATTAATTGTTTTGTCTTGGACCTCGGCCACAAATGGTGCCAGTGGTGAAATGCTGTGGAAAAAGTTTCCCACTGCATGGGTTTTGACTGAAAAATAGAATCAAAACTCTTCAAGACTGAAGCTCTATTTCCTACTAAGCCAACGGGGCATCCTGATGCAAGCCCAAGAGAACTTGTCAACTAAAAGATCCCAGAGCAAGTGTGTTCTGAAGTAATAAAGCAATCCAAAGCTAAAAATGTAATAATAATAATAATAATCACGACCTGAAACCTCAGCATTTCTCGACCATATATAACTAAATTAGCTTAACATACAGGATGTGTTTTCTTAAGGTTTTTTGAAAATGATATCCTAGTCCAAGTCTCTCTGTTTAGTTTGACCAGTTTTAATACCAATCACTAGACATACAGATGCCAGACAGGCATTCCCAAGAGAAAACTGGATAGATGCCTCATCCTTGTAAAATATCCCATTAAAGGTTGTGTTTTTTCATCTGTAAGTTGTCTGAAAGCTCTAATATATCACACAGTAGTATACTTAAATTTAGCACTGGATTCTCATTCTCCTGCTTGTTTTCGTAGCTACCAAAAAAATAAAAGATTCTTACACATTCCTCCACAATTTATTACACATTGAAGAAATATGCAAATTTTGTAATTCAGCCCACTCTTGATTCTGTATGTACAGTGGCAATGATAGAGTGGATGGTTGAAATACACAAGTGGTTTTTTTTAATGTGTCCATTACTTTGGCTTTAAAATTTTCCTTCATTCACTGCTTTCTCTCAGAGCAAGCCTAACTTCAGGCCCTGCCTTCTCCCTGCTCAGCAGGGAACAGTCTTGACAACAGGCAACACCACTCACTACACCAATGAAAAGAAACAAGGGCAGCAGTTCAAAGAGGAGGGTGGTTGAGTGAACAATCCAGAAAAATTTGACTTGCCTAATTACTTCCCACACTGTCTTTTTTTCCCCTTGCAATTCCATGTGGTATCACCTCACTGACGGCTGCTTCAGGAGGGTAAAAGTTAGGATGGAAAGCCTGAAAAATACTGTCACAATTCAGACAGTTTGAGTCAGCCAAAACAAACGCTAACCTATGTGGGAAAACACCAATCAATCTCCCAATGTGATTTTTTTAACAGCTCGCCAGCTTCCTCACACCTCTGGACATCATGCTTGGACTGCTTGCTGCAGCAGCCCACGATGTTGACCATCCAGGAGTGAACCAGCCATTTTTGATCAAAACTAACCACCATCTCGCCAACCTATACCAGGTAAGGGAGCTCAGTGTTGAGTCACAGTTCAGCCAACAGCCTTCGGCCCAGTGCTGGAGCCTGAGTCTCACCTTTGGAGATAGCCTTCCTTCGGGATCAGCCTCAATGACGACCACAGCCAAAGATCATGGATTTGAATAGGTCCAGGATATTTTCCAAAGAAGATTAAATTTGTTTACACAGGTACCCGAGGAAATCCATTCTCTCCGAAGCAGATTGAAAATTATGCAAAGGAAAACAGGATCTCTGAGCCTACTCTCTCATGATCTGAGAATATGTGTCTCTCTGGACACCATCGCATATATAATGGCCAGTTGAAGCCAGTCCTTGTAGGACTTCTATAAATGATAATTCCCAGGTGCAATCCTAATTTAAACTATGTCTCTAAGATTATTTCTGACGTTGACCGGCCTCCAGGTCAGAGGTATGTTATCAAAGATAATAGGCATACTTTGTTATTCTAAGATAGCTCAGCAGCATGAGTAGGTTGGCCTAGAGACCTTTTATCTCTGATGTTATTTAAGGTAGTAAAACTTGTATCAGAGATGAATAACTCCCAGAATTTTCAGGGTGGTCCTTTGGAAACCTTTGGTTGTCATTCACAAAATCATTGTGTACAAGGTAGCCATTGATCTCAGTTTTAGTAGATCTTTTGAAAAACACGATGCTAAAAAATTCCTGACAGATCTCCATAAAACACCTGCATTATACAAGATGTTACAGCTTGAGGATGCATATATTTCCAATAAAGCATGACCAGAACATGAGAAAAGCATTTCCCCATCCGTTGATTAGCTATTAGAGTAGGTGGGAACTGACATTTCAGTGTTTATGGGTCCACCGGTATGTATCCAGAGCTGGGCTCTGTTGAGTGGCCAGCCAGCACCCGGAGCCAGGACAGATGTGGCCACATTGAGGGGACAAGATGACAGAACTAAGAAAGCCTTTGATGATGAGCTACAAACTAAACAAAGAAAAATAAAACCTGAAGCTAAACTTTCTAAAAGCGTATCAGAAGCTAAATTTATTGCTTGAAAAAAACACAGACATGAACAACTGGACTGAAAACCCCCAGATAGATTTTCTATTCCTGTCAATGCTGATTTTTTTCAAATGTCTTTTATTAGACAAAGGAAATCTATCAACAAAATTTGCTATTTGGTCCCTTCCCATATAAAGTAAATGCTTACATAATTCTAATTTCTTGTCATCAAAGAAATCATGTCAATGAAGTTTAGGAAAATATCTGCTGTCACTGACTGATTAGTACATAAAATGAGGGTCATAAAACTGCACTTTGGCATGTAGTATATACAAAACATGAGATGGATTCATATCTAGACAGGAAGTTAAAAAGAAATATGTCAGATGTTAAAAATAAGAAAGTCGTAGAATTGCCTAAGAATTAAGTACTCATTACGAATTAACAAAAATTGATTCTCCAAATAAAAATACTGTCTTGTTCAGATACTAAAATTGTTCTCAAAAAAATGGATTCCTTACTCAAACATTTGAAGTCCAGGTAATTTTTAATAGTTTTTATTTTAATCTCTTTGTTAAAAATAAACGTTCCAATAATAGGGTGCCTGGGTGGCTCAGCTACTTGAGGCTCTGACTCTTGGTTTTGACCCAGGTCATGATCTCAGGGTCATGAGATTGAGCCCCACATAGGGCTCTGTGCTCAGCACGAGTCTGCCTGAGATTCTTTTCCACTCCTCTTCCCCTCCCCCTGCTTTTGCATGCATACTATCTCTTTCTCTCTAAAACAAATAAATAAAATCTTTTTTAAAAAATTAAAAGTAAACATCCCAATACAACCAAATTCTGCAGTCTTTTCAATACAACATACAGTCTAGCATATTTTTAATCAACCACAATTTATTGCATATATCATATAATATACTAAGATCTAGGAGTACAAAGATGGATCAAGTATAATCTCTGCCCTCAAACATTTGTTGAAACTTAGATGCTCAAAATGTGCAAAATCTAAGACTTAATCTCAGTTTGAAAAAGCTTTGGGGAATTAGCTAAAGATACACATACAGATATTATTTTTTTAAATCTTTAAAGAGTAAGGACCTGTTCGGTTTTTTTATTCAAAATTGTCATTATAATAAAATGAGCTATTATATTTTCTAGCAGTGAATTTATCCATCTGGACTATCTGGCCAGATCCTTGAAAGGAAAGACAAGGATCCTTTTGATAATAACTAGAAAGAGTTGGGATATGGGACTTGAAAATCACATGCAGGATAAATCTTCACCAGTCTCCTTCTCATTTGGTCTTAGGATCTCTTGGAAGCTAGGTAGAGGCCCTTATCTTTAGGTTTTAGAAATAATGTTTAAAAAAAAAAAAAAAAAGGAAAAGTGTGTTGAAGGCAAACAGGATCACACAGTATCATAAAGATATTTCTACTATCTTAGAGCTCACTAGGATAAAAGCTGATATTTTTATCAGCCAAATTGGGACATAACATATTAAAAGTAAAAATTGTCAAGAGGACCTGAAAATATTATGAGATTTCAGTTCTGTCCAAAAAAATTTCTTTTAAAAGATTTTATTTATTTAATTGAGAGACAGAGAGTGAGAGAAAGATCATGAGCAGGAAGGAGTGGTAGAGGGAGAAGCAGCCTCCCAGCTGAGCAAGGAGCCTGATGCGGGGCTTGATCCTAGGACCCTAGGATCATGACCAAAGCTGAAGGCAGATGCTTAACCGACTGAGCAACCCAGGTGACCCTCTCCAAAAAATTTCTCATGCCTTCTGTATTTGGCTACATACCATTATTTATTTCAAAAAAATAAAGAAAATTCTATGTAAAATATAGTTCAACAAATTATATAATTAACCTTTATGTAATGCTTACTATGACTCAAAAACTGTGCTAAACACTTCTGATGGATTATATGATTTACTCTGCACAACAGTCCAGTTAGGTGGGAATGATTATCATACCAATTTTCCAGAAAGAGGAAAATTAATACTTAGAAAATTCAAGTGTTTTTCCTGAAAATAAATAGCTAATTAATGGCAAAGCCAGAATAAGTGTTTTGTCTCCAAAGCAGAAGTGACTCAGCACTATACACACGGCCTCTGAAATTCACAGGTATCACCTATTTTCTGTGCGCCGGGCACTAGGAGCCTTCAACCAGGTTTCCTCCTGCAGTGAGGGAGACAAAGGGGTTAGAGCCAAGTGGCAAGCGGAGGGACTTTGTGAAATACTCTTCAGGACATAGCTACAAAGGTGATGGAAAGACAGAAACTGATGCTGCAGATGGCCTGGGGGAGGGGGGAACCTCAGGGAGGAAGAACAGTAAACTGGGCCTTGACGTGTAACGTTCTGAGTAGCAGAATTGAGGGAGGACACTGGAGGCAGCATGAGCTGGTGGACTTCGGGGGTTAAAACCCCCAACTAAAGAATAACTGAAAACGGACTCTCTGTGGCCATTAGCTGAGCATAGGAACAGCCCCTGCTCTCAGATGAGTGTCTTGGGCATATTTTCATTAAGTATATATTTTCTCTTTGTAGAAGCTTCTTCTGTAGATTAGCTACACAGAACATGACCTGAGGCAGAAAATCTCTGCTTTGCACCAAGTTGTTGATGAGGAACTGGCATGACTTCAGGTTTTCAATTTCAAGAAAAAAAGATGATGTTACCTAATACATAAACTGAGCCAGACAATTAACAACACATGTTATTTAAAATCTTTGCAAATGTAGACTTTCAACCTACCAAGAACCTATTGGATGAGACATGAATGAACTTTCAGGAAACTACATGCAGATTTTCCAAGGATAGACCTATGCACTTCTTTCTAGGGTAAGGATCCATAATTTACACCATATTTTAAAACAAGTTGACCATGGTAATTAATAAAAAATATATGTATATACATTATATATATATTACACAATATATATTATACAATATATACATGGTAATGAATTAAAATATATGTATATACATTATATATATATAACACAATATATTGTAATTTTGTGTCTATGTGTGTATACATACACACATACACACAAACAAAATTATACACACCCACATAAACACATTTGGTTAATGAGAATCCAGTAGAGAAGATGTGCCAGGAATTATGTGGGCTGAGAATACCCTGTGCGTGACTTTCTGCAATCTAGTTTTTCTATAAATGAGATAAAATGGAAGAGAGCTTCCTCTCCCTCCTTTTGTTGGCTGTGCTCTTTTAGTTCTAATAAATAAGAAGATCATTGCTTAACACCCAGCCTGTGCTTCTGCCCGGAGATAAAGAGAGAGCCAGGGCAGCTGGAGTGAAGGCCAGGTCAGAGGGCTCCCTCCCATTGTCTGATGTCTGGACAAGACTCACTAGCTGAACTGCCAACCCAAGCTCAACATGAAAGTGAAAAAACCACTTCCACATGGCACCTCTCTCAGCAGAGTGGAACCATCCAGATGTCCCCGGTGGACTGATAGAGAAAGGAACATGGGAGACATCGAACCAAGCACTTAACTTCTGTCCCTCCACCTGCAATCCCCCACCCATGTGCCCAGCAGCTGGGCAAAGTAAGCATTAAATCTGATAGGATATTGGTTATCACAACAAGGAATATTGCAAAAAGAATCACTTTCAGTTCCTTTTCAAATGTAATTCCTTTTGATAGGGTCTAACTTATCTAACATCTTAACTAATGACAGAGCAGCCTAATGAATAAACTGATCATTGTTCCTTACAGTGTAATGTAATGTTCCATAATATTAAATTCTATATTGTCTTACAGAAGTTTATAATCATTTTTTCTTAGTCACTTAACATAAGCACTTAGAGCAGGTCAACATTTTTTTTTAAGATTTTATTTATTTATTTAAGAGAAAGAGAAAGAGAGAGCTTGGATGGGGTGAGGGGCAGAGGGAGAAGCAGACTCCCTTCTGAGCAGGGAGCCTGATGCAGGGATCGATTCCAGGACCTGGGATCATGACCTGAGCCAAAGCAGATGCTTAACCGACTGAG